CTAGTGGTGACATCTGATAGGAAAGATGTTGGGAGTTCTTAATACATATTATCACTGTCCTGAGTCTGAAACAACTGTAATTTCCATCCTGTGTCTTAGTTCATTGTTGGTTGAACTTTCTAAGTCAGAAAGGACTCTGTTTAGTAAGGTTGATCATTTATTGTAGTTAATAAGCTCCTGTGCTCAACTGATTTTCTTTCCTTCATTGGGGATAAAGGGAGATAAGACAAGGTCTCATATAGCCCAGTGTATCCTCTTTTGGCATGTACCTGAAGCTGGTCTTGAACCTCTGAACTTCCTGCCTCTACCTCTCAATTGCTAGGATCATAGGTATATGCCATTAATTGATTTTCCTCCTCCTCCTCCTCTTCCTCCTCCTTCTTTTTTTTTTAACCTCCCAGCCTACACCTTCCCAGAAGATAGATTTATCTATCTATCTATCTATCTATCTATCTATCTATCTATCTATCTATCTATCTATCTATCTATTTATGAGGCAGGGCCTTGCTATGTAGCCCAGGCTGGTCTCACACTGGCCTCTTGTCTTCATTTCCTGAATGCTGGGATCATAGACAGAAGCCACCATACCCAGCTAAAAGGTCTCTTTAAAGTAAAAAAAAAAAATGCTGGGCAGGAAGGCCTATGGCAAATCCTACTGTGAAAGTATACTTACAGGCCTTCAGAGAATAAGGATTATGGTAAGAATAAGAGGTAAGCCAAGACACAAAAACTCCCAGCAAAGAAAAGTACTGTCTACGTAAGATTAACATTGAGGTCCTTCTTTAAAACCTTGGAGCCTGTAATCAGTTCCCCAACTGGTAGCTATCTGGCTTAAAGTGGCTGACAGGAGAATTATCCTTCAGAATGTGAACCCAAGCAGGGTTTATAATGAGCCATATACAGAAGAAAAGCTCAACGCTGCAATGTCTGGATGTCTCATTTCTAGGAAAATCTAGTAAAGAAATTTACTCAACACAGAGGAAAACATGTAATCTACAAGTTAAAAATAATTGCAGCACCTGAAACACAATCAGCAGATGGAGGCAGAGCACAGAGAATATAAAAGCCCAGACTAGTCCAGCTCCCACACTCTGCTAGCACGCCGTGTGTCTTTAGTTTGCCAGTGATTCTTCCCTGTGTCTTTCCTCCTCCCTGGTGAGGAGACCTGATCCTGGGCGCTCAGCAGGGACATGGGGGACAGAAACCCTAACGGGAAGACAGAAAACCACCAGAAGAACTATGAACTGAATCACTGAAGGCTCAAGGAGGCCAGAGGGGACAAACACGACTGCAACTTAAGAACACAAACACACACAGGACTTAGTAACGGGCGAAATCATTAAGTAAAAAGGGGCAAAACCAGCCAAGACTTTGCAGCAGGGAAATGAACAGGGCTAGGACAGAAGTAAAGAGGTGCATAGAAAGGTGGGTGGAGTTGCAGACAGAAAATTCTAGCTGCAATGACTATAATACACCTACATGAGAATTTAAATAACATTTTATTTCAGCATGCATGTTTTTATGTCATTGTAAAAGTAGTATTATTTTAAATTATACATGTAAGAGAAAAGGCATATTATAGTCTTTTAAAAGGTTGGGTTACCTGAACGTTCAAACCTACCCTGCAAAGTCAACTACGTGCAGGTGCCTTTACCAAGTCAAGATCCCAGGAAGTAAATGAGCTTATGGCTGCAGGTGTCTAGGCAGAAGGGCACTTCATAAGGAGCAGAGAGAAAGAAAAACTTTGCCTCCACAGAAATAAACCAGATATTTCCACCTTGTATGAAAAGAAGAAACACTCTACAAGGAAGAGCCCTGACAAGTCATGGCTAGCTACCCCTGAAGGTCGTGGCAGTTCAAGTTTAGTGCATACATGCAGACCTAAGGGTTACACATTTCACTTATCATCCAATCTGGCAATCTTTAACTCGGAAAAGGAATATGTAACAATCTATAAACTTATCTCCACCAGCAGCACATTTAGTCAGTCTTCTCTTATTTTTAGATTATGTCTTATTTCTTCCTGGCTTCACAATGATGTAAGAATTCCCTACTATTCCATTCCATCCCTTCCCCACCAAAATTTACCATTTGGCCTCCTATTTGAAACTTCTAGCATCCTTTATAGCAATCTTATTTCCCAGATCTTCTTTTACTGTATTTAGTGAAACTCTGGGGGTGTATGAGAGAGAAGACCCCTAAACCAATACATCAGAGACAGATGTCTCCAACAGTCTTAGGACCAGAGGATTTTATAGCAGACTCCTCAAAAGTTTAAAAGACTGATAGTTTGAAAGCTGTTCAAACTTCAGATCATAAAAATGGAACCAAGCAAAGTAATTTTATAAAGGAAGAAGTCTTTTTAAGAGCAAATGCAACATTCTTACTGGAATGTCAGTCAGTAATAAAATCTTTTAACACCGTCAACAAACAAGAATGCCCTCAGTAAAGGAACCAGCAATAACTCAACAGTAAGCTGTTTTCTGTGAACTAGCCACACTGCCCAGTTCGAGGAGGGAGCAGAGAAGCTCGGTCCTATAGACACTTTCCCTTGTAGATCTCTAGAATTTATTCTTTATATTGACCACCCGAATCTTCTCTCCTCTACTCTTAGTACTGTAATCAATCACACTGACTTTCTTCAATGCTTAAAGCAATCTTACGTTCCAAGCAAAAATCTCTCAGTCTTCCAATCCATTACAGATGTAACCTGACATGCTCTTTGGAACGCTTCATCTTACACAGGCGTGATTCGGCTGTAACTATTCTTTCATATTCATGTAGGCAGTATCGAGACTATGCTAGCCTTAAGAATAAATCTAAGTGTATTCTGTTTCCTCTACTTCGGCTTTATTTTTTGTAGCACTTCACAGCTAAGGTCTTTCCTTTCTCTTCTAGCTTCTTGGTTCCTTTGCTCAGCAGGCCCCCACCTCGCAGCTCCTGACGTCAGCCTCTCCTGTAAACAGGTCTGCTACCCCAGCCTCAGGATGCCCCGAAGCCCAAGGGCTACAAGAGCACCCCACACAGCTGCTCCAATTGGAGAGGACGGTACGACAGGAAGTGGAGGTCGGTACGACAGGAAGTGGAGGTCTCCTCCCTGGCAAACTGGTAACTGCCCCTCTGCAGGTACAGGTTTTGCCTCTTCTACAACTTTTGCTATTTTCTCTTTGACTTTGGATTTCACAGTTGTGTTAGGAACCACCTAAGCACGCTTTTTCTTCAATGTTTCTCTGCTTTGCAGCGCGTTTACCCATCCACCCCAGAGTTCCCCAGAATTTTCTTGAGTGCAAGCAGCGAGAAATATTAGATAGAAGTATTCAGATTGTGGAGATAAACAGATAGAAAATACAGGATAGCCTCAAGAGGGCCTGGAACCTATTCCAGGGTATTTATAGAGACACCAGGGGTGGAGCAAAAGACCTCCTCCCCCAGCACAGTCAAGTGCAGACCATCTCAGACACCTGCACTCAGGCCCGTGGTCCTAATCATCCTCAATTCGGACCTGCTGGGTAAAGCCATGAGGAACCTGAAAACGGGCTCCCACACTGCTTTAGGCTTAAAATACTTCTTGATCTGCATTTGAAAAGGTGGCTGTTCTATGACAGCAGCTTTGAGTCATTTGTTACTGTAGGAAGAAGTGATCCTTCAAGGCAGCCCCGGTGTCCCTGTACACTCTCACTGGGTGTGCAAAGACTGAGAAGCCGCTAACACGCTGCCACTAGCATCTGTTCTTGGGATGCTTGGTACAGACTGCAACCACCTTGACATAACGAGTGCGTAAGATATTTCAAAGTCAGGATTCATTTCCAGCCTTACGAAGTGCTTCGGGGTTTCACTCAAGCACCGAGGTAAAACATGAGCTGCTCCCTCAGCCCATGCAAAGGTGGCAGGCTGTAAAGCCCTGCTTCTGCTTTTCGAACAGTAAGTGTCCAGTGGAAGGAAGCGCTGGGCACCTTATCCCCTTTCTCAGAATCAGCACATGACCCTTCAGGGGAAGGGTGGGTGACTCACAATGCTAAGCTCTCCTCCCCACCTCATTATATTCTGAATTATTTAGGTTGTTTTTTATATTCTGTCAAGTTTGGCTTCATTTTTTAGAGTGTTAATGTATATTACTAAACATTACCAAAAGCCGAACGAGTCCAAAACTAGATTTAACACATTGAGTGTTTCAGAGTTTTATCCCTTGTTCCCCTTTCTCTCCACTAAGATCAAGACACACACAAAATGTTTTTAAAATATGCTATTCTATCAGTATTTTTAAATAAACCAAAAAGATGACACTTCATTCAACTTCTAAAATACTATTACAAAATGTTATTTGCATAAAAATGCTGATGTTATCTCAAGTAAAGAAGAAAATCAGTAACAGAAACACCTACAATCTAATTTAGCTGGAAGTGTGGTTCAATTGGTGGAGTGCTTGCTGGGCATGCACGGAGCCTTAGGTTTGATCTCCAGCACCTCAGAGACCAGGCACAGTAACTCACGCCTATATGTAAGGCCCAGGAGGGAGGGAGAGGCAGAAAAATAGATGTTCAAGGTCATCTTGGGCAACACAGTGAGCATGAGGCCAGCCTGAGCTACATGAGACCCTGAGTCAAAAACAAAGTCCTAATCATTATTCTCTTCTAGTTTCTCTCTCTCTCTCTCTGTTTTTTTGTTTTGTTTTGTTTTGTTTTTGAGACAGGGTTTCTCTGTATAGCTTTGTGCCTTTCCTGAAACTCACTCTGTAGCCCAGGCTGGCCTCGAACTCACGGAGATCCGCCTGCCTCTGCCTCCCGAGTGCTGGGATTAAAGGCGTGCGCCACCACTGCCAGGCTCATTATCTCTATTTTTTAACGTTATCTAGAAATATAGTATAATTTATGAGCTTATGTTTTTAAAAAGTCAGAATATAATACAGCATTTTTTTTCTTCCTTGTATTCTTTCTCCCTGAGAAAATTAAATGCTATGAAGACCAAAACTTGAGTTTTGAAAACATGAGAGAAATACGTACAGTGAAAAACACGGAAGTCAATATATGGGTGTGAACCTCTTCTTTCTGCTTCAAATCCTGCACGGCTTCTTACGCGGACATCTCCTGGACAGTCAGGAACAAATGTAAGTTTAGAAAGGCCCATGTGGGATCCTACTCCTCAGTATGGCCCCGTCACAGGAGGCCAGTGAGGAAGGTAACAGGTTAGTATAGCAACATACATACATGTGAAAATGTCACAATGAAACCAATGACTGTATGCTAAAAAATAATCCAAACAAAATAAGCTGAATGAATGGTTAAGAACTGGCTTATTTGGAGGAGGTAATAAGATTTCAGTATTGAGTTGTAAGTCTGGGTTAGAAAACTTCTAAAAATTTCATTCTTTAATAATTATCTATATTTTAAAGGTCATTTCATAAGTCTGATGGGGCTGAACCAATCACCATAAAAGGCCAGTGGGAAACAAAATCTGTTTCACAGAAGAAAATCCTAAAACAAAACTTCAAAAGCCATAGCAAGAAGCAGGCATCCACCACCACACCTGCTCTGCTGAGGCGGGCACACTGGACTGCCCACAAAGAGTATGCACACGGGAAATTTGATTACTCCCAAGCAGCCTGCAAGGCCTCTGTGCACTGGAAATCTCTCTCCTCACCCGAGGTTTTTAGCAAGTTCTTAAACTTTTGTTTTTACCTGTTTGATGCTGTTCTTACATAAATGCACATGATTTTCAGATAATTTCATGACCAATTACCAGGTACTCATTGTATCACAGGCATTGTTAAATTCTGCAATCAAACCTAAAGAAGAACCTTAGTTCCCATTCTGTGGATGCAGAAATTGGGCTTTGGTGGATCAAATCGCATTTCCATGCCTCGAGTTAGTGCAAATGACAAGCAGTACTTAAACCCACGGTTCAAAACGCAGCACCTTCCTGTTAATGCTGCCACAGAGAGCAAGTTCATAACAAGGAGAGCCTTGTAACCTCCTGTGCTCCTAAAACTCTGACTTCTTGAGGCTCTCCCTTCATCAACTGTGACTCCATCTTTATCTACCAAGGCCTCTTTTATGTAGTGACTCCTCATTACGACAAAAGTTTGCCGAGTACATGTCAGACCCAGCACATACCAGTGCACAGTTTACCTTCTCGGGGACAGACAAATAAAACAAACACATAACTCCTTTCTACGGGGGAGGGGGAGAGGCTATAAAGTAAGAGGAATGGGGAATGGAGGGATGGGACGGGACAGTGTCACTGAAGAGGTGTCTAAACAGGGACCTGTGGCGAGTGAGCCTGAAGGCTATCAGTGGAAAGAGGTTTCCAAGCACAAGCAAGAGCAAGCGTGAACACCCTAGGCCAGGAGCACACTTGGTGTGTTCGCAGCCAAGGGAAAAGGCCAGCATGGCAGGAGCACTGGGCGAGGGAACTTGGGAAGAGTGAGCTCAAAGAGGCATCAGGCTGGATCCCACTGGACACTGGTATCCAGCATACCAGCTTTGGCGTTGCTCTAAGGCTGAAGTCCTCAGAGTCTTCTGAACACACAGTTAACATGACTTCAGATGACTTTACTGATGGAAAAGGTTCACCTTGGTTGTGTAGACCACAGTTCCGGAAGACCAATTAAGGGCCAAGTTCAAGAAGGAAGGCAATACCATGGTTTAGATCGGGCAGAAACACCATCAGGATGCAGCCAGGCTGGTTATTTGAAGCAGGACTAGTCAATGAACTAGACATAGAGTATATAAGAAACAGGAGTCAAGAATGACTTCCTTTTGGGAGAATGGAGTTATATCTATTGAGATGATAAGACTACAAATGTGGAAAACAAATATTCCCAGTCCTGTTAAAAGTTTGAAGTACCCATCATATACCCATAGAAATAGAGTAAATATGTCTAAGGATTTGTTTCAAGGGTAAAAGAGCCATAAACATCTTTTTTAAGAGACAAGGGAAGAGGTAGAACAGAGTGGAAGTGGGTAAAACACAAAAGATATGAACTAAACTAAAGAGGAAGGAGTAAGAGCGAAAACAGAACTTCGGGATACATTTGGGCTTAAGCGTATAGAGTCCGTGAAGGACTCAAAAGAAAGGACAGACGCAGATAAACTGTAAGGGATCAGCCCGGCATCTCAGAGCTGGGGGCGGAGCTCTGAACACGAGGAGAAAAGCCAGGGGCAACTTCTCAAAGATGAGCAAATATGCCTACCAGGATCTAACTGTGCGTGTTTAATAGTGTGAAATAAAGCGCAAGGGAAGTGTCTGGCTGAAGAGGGAACGCCGGCAAGGGCAGGAAGGAAAAATGTCCACATATGTGCAGCTGGTTACACTGACTTGTGAAACGAGGTAATAGATAAGAATCTTAAGCACCAAGTCCTCTCAGTAAGCCCCCCGAGAACAAAATGAAGACTACCTAATAGGAATTTCCCAGATTCGTCTTCATCCATGCTGGCATGCACTGCTTTATTTAGCAGCTCTAGAAACCTGTTTTCCACGAAGAATGCTCCAAAACAGTTAAAAGCTGTACGCTAAGAATACTGTCCTACTAAACCAGACTTCTAAATTGTCTAACTCTAAACTGCCTCTATTTATTCATCACATTCTGTACTAGTTTTCAGATGCTAGACTTCAATTTCTTTCTTTCTTTCTCTCTCTCTCTCTTTTTTTTTTTTTTTTTTTGGTTTTTTGAGACAGGGTTTCTCTGTGTAGCTTTGGAGCCTGTCCTGGAACACACTCTGTTGCCCAGGCTGGCCTCGAACCCACAGAGATCTGCCTGGCTCTGCCTCCCGAGTGCTGGGATTAAAGGCGTGTGCCAACAACGCCCGGCTTAGACTTCAATTTCTGTTACAAGTAATGAAAAGGCTACTTAATGAAAGATACCTCATCCCAAATAATGTGACTACAAAATTAACTGGTACTGATACAGATTGTGCTTACCTAGCATACGAATATATAACGCAGTCTGATCAGAACTGTCATAGGAAATAGCTCCACGTCTCTGGAAAAAAAAAAGCATACATTTTAGTACATGATAATGAAATATCTAAAATTTAATTAGTAAACATGCATTTATTATTTATTACATATTATTTGCAAAGCATTGTGCAAAAAAGGTTGAATCTACAAAATCCGCTCTGGAAATCTCCAGCTGGAGGAAAGGAAAATACAGTACAACATGGCTGAGAACTACCATGACAAATGGCTACAAGAGAAAAAGGTTTGTGACGCACAAGCTGATTTCTTTTGGAGGTGTGGGAGGCTGAGAACAGACCCCAGAGACTCTGGCATGCTAAGAAAGCACTCTATCATTGAGTTCTATCTCCAGTTCTACAAAAGGCTGTTTCTTTTTAAAAAAAAAAAAAATCACGAGTTACCCAGTGGAAGAGAGAGAGGGTAAAGGCAATCTACTGGTGTTCAGGTCCATCTCCAAGCCCCACTGGTGTTCAGGTCCATCTCCAAGCCCCAGGTCTTTATATGTTAGAAGAGTGACTATTTCACGTCCCACTCACAATCCTCCAATGGCTCCCACTACACTGGAGATGAGCCCACGTTCTCGGGTCCACGGCCTCCAGGATCTGCTTCTGGCTGTTCTTGTCCTAGCACACCCCTCCCCACTATGATGCAGCCACGCGGTCCTTCCTCCTCTCACGGTGCCCAAGGCGGCCTTCACACTGCTGCCCCCTGCCTGCTGCCTGAGGCATTGCCATTCCTGCTTCTTTCTTTTTTTTTGAAGATTTATTTATTTATTATGTATACAGTATTCTGCCTGCATGTATCCCTACAGGCCAGAAGAGGGTGCCAGATCTCATTACAGATGGCTGTGAGCCACCATGTAGGTGCTGGGAATTGAACTCAGGACCTCTGGAAGAGCAGCCAGTGCTCTTAACCTCTGAGCCATCTCTCCATTCCTGTTTCTTATGGTCTGGATGGAACAATCTCAGACATCCCTGACTCCCAAAGCTGCAGCCGTCTGAGAACTATGTTCTCCTGCAGTACCCCACAGCACTGGCTCCATTTGCTACTGCCTTTAAAGCAACAAATGCCATTGACTGCTTATAAAAATAAATAAAAATAAAAACAGTAACAACAAAACAGCTGGGCACGGTGGCACACACCTTCAATCCCAGCACTCAGGAGGCAGGGGTAGCTCAGCTTCCATGTAGCATTTGGCTAGTATTATCCTATTTGCTCTGTATTAAAATAGAAATTCCACAGAAGCTGGAACCTTATCTGTATCAGTTACCACAGTATCCTGGCCTCTAAAATAGGAACTACCACTTAGTAAATAAATAATAACAACACTTTGTCAACAAATGCACTTGTTGCAAATAAAAGTTAGGAGCTGAGGAGTAAATGAACAGTTACTGATAGAGCTGATACAAATGAATACACTTCAAAACCTGGACGGCAAAACTGACCCAGCCTCTGATCGGCATCTAAGTTCTGTGCCAGCCAGCACCTGAAGCACGGCTGGCTACCCAGATTCTGACCAAAACCCAACATTCAGTCAGACTGGCACCTGGCACACCAAAACTAGAGAAGGAGCCGGTGAGATGACCCAGTAGGCGAAGGTGCTTGCTGCCAATCCTGACGGCCTGGGTTCAATCCCCTAGACTAACACAGCAGGAAGAGAGATTCCTTCAAGGTGCTCTCTGCCCTCTACAGGCATGCTGCGGTGTGTAAGTCCACACACACACACACACACACACACACACTTGATCACAGTACATTAAAACAAAACTGTCTGAGACAGGGTCTCACTATGTAGCCCTGGCTGTCCTGGAACTTGCGTGTAGACCAGGCTGTCCTCGAACTCACAGAGATCTGCCTGCCTCTGCCTCCTGAGTGCTGGGATTAAAGGTGTGCGCCACCACCGCCTGGCTGTTTTTAGAGCAGTCAATACAGTTAGTTCCTTTAAAGGCAGTAGAATTGGAGCCAGTACCACGGGGTACTGTACGGTGATATGATACTACAAAGACCTGAGGAGCCAACCGGGGCGGGTGCGGGGCAATACTTTTTTTTTTTTTTTTTTTTTTGGTGTATGTATTAAAAAGAAAAAAAAGAAAAGAAAAGATAGAAAGGAGAGCTGCTCAACCTCATCAACAAAAGTGTACACTGAAGTCATGTAATCCCAGTTCTACTCATCAGATTACTGACCTTCTATCCCACACAACTTTAGCTGGGATTTACAGGCACTTAACATGTTTGTATCTGCAAATCTCCAGGGAGGTAAGAATATTGGCTTAAAAAAATAATTATAAAAAGTTTACTTTAAGTGATTACACAGAATTGGTATGCAAAACCACTCCTCCAAATATTATGTTTATATTTTTTTTTGGTATGTGTGTGCGTGTGTGTGTGCGTGTGTGTGTGTGTGTGTGTGTGTGTGTGTGTGTGTGTGTGTGTGTGAAGGTGTAAAGGCTAGAGGTCAATCTCCAGAGATATACCTCAGGCATCATCCACCTTGTTTTGTGGAATAGTCTCTCACTTGGCCTAGAACTCACCAAGTAGGCTAGACTGACTGGCCAGAGTCCCGGGATCCGCCCGCCTGTGTGACTGAGTCCTCAGGGCTGGAATTACAGGCACGCACCAACAAGTCTGGCAGCCCCTGCGGGTCATGAGGCTTGACCACAGCACTTGACCAGTTGGGCTAGCCCCTCTGCCCCAAGTTAGAGTCTTAATGCTAACTTATCATTTTAGGAAAAAAACAAACAAAAACAAACAAACAAACAAAAAAACCAAAGGCTGAAACCTTGTATGACTTAATCTTAAAAGGTTCATGGGGGCTGGAGAGATGGCTCAGAGGTTAAGAGCACTGACTGCTCTTCCAGAGGTCCTGAGTTCAATTCCCAGCACTCACATGGTGGCTCACAACCATCTGTAATGAGATCTGGCGCCCTCTTCTGTGTACATAATAAATAAATCTTAAAAAAAAAAAAGTTTGTGAAATGTAGAACAAACCTTTCAACCAAAATTAAATTCTATCAATATCCATTGTCTCCAAGGAGAATGGAACTTTTTAATGCATAGCTTTTGTGCTTTTAAAATTTTATAGCATGTATAGTTATTACATTTCACAAAGTAAATAAAATAAAATGTGGAAATCATCTAAAAAAAACCCTACCAAGAAAATATGATCTCAAGTAGCAATGAACTAATGCATACAGAACATATCCCTGACCCCATCGTACCAGCGTCTGAAACAGCTGCTGTTCCATAGCAAGCTAGTCATTCTGGAGTAAAAAGCCACAGCTATCACCTGATATTAAGACGACACTCAGCTGGGATTACAGTCATCTCCAAATGCTCAGTTTACTAGGTTACAGGCCTCACTGGCAGGCTAATGGTAAGCCAGTCTGGAAAGAGCGTATGAGGCAATAATATTTCTATGGCTAAAACCTATTAATGAAACCACAGACATCAATATGTAATAACTTAACAGAGCCATACCTATCAATCTGGTAGTGTCAACAACTTGGTGAAACAGTCAGTTAAAATGAAATTTGACGTGCTCTTCTCTACGAGGGGTGGTCGGCATTACTGCTTTTACCGTAGGGTACATATCTACCCAAACAGCCACTTTTTAAAGGCAAAGGTCTCCCTGATTACATCACATAAGGAGCAGCTGAAGACACATGTCAGCTCTGCAGTAACACATGTTAAAGCCAGGTAATGTCAATGTTAAAGCTGGGTGATGGTAAAGCCAAGCACACTAATTATACTGGAAGGCAAACATTTCGGAAGCATGTATGGAAGCACTAGACATTAAAATGGCAGGGCCTCTACTAATTTGGGCAAAAAGGGTAAAATTTAATGTATCTCAATTAAGTGTATATTGACAATTGCTTAATAAATAAAATATTCAATTTGTACTTACTTAAGGCTAGTCTATAAATACTTAGCCTAAGAGCTATCCTGAATCCCAAGATACAGCACCTACTAAATAAATCCAAATGAAACTAAATTTTGAAAAAAAGAATGGACCCACCAATGAATATAAATCACACATCAACTTCCTCATAAATGAGACTTAATATGAATACCATCAAGTTCTCGCTGTGAGCAATCTAGGTAATCTAAAGTAACTCACTTTGGGAAATGAGTTATACTATACACTATGAATTAGAGTAAAATTTTATTCCATGTAAGAGTGTTACTTTCAAAAATGTGCTTTATACACCAAGACACGAGCTTCACAAATGTTTCTTAACTTTTCTTAACTAAGGAGCTTGTTTTAAAGCCCCATACTGGTAGAATTGTATTTTGGGTAAAAACAGTAGAGCAAAGTTCACCAAAGTCCTGTGTCCGCATCAGTCCTGAAGGCCTCTGGGCTGCGCCCACACCCCACTGCACTCTCCAGCAAATGGAAATACCCAAGGCTTCCACTCGTGACTCTTCTAATTTAGCCATCCTGGGAACAGCTTGTAAAGCAAACCAGTATAGGTCAAAACATGGGCGAGGCTGAGCTAATCAGCAACGACAGCCGCAGCAGAGACGCGTTACAGCAAAGGCTCCCTCCCAAGAACCATGGCCCTCTCAGAGCTGCCTGAGACACCCGTGTGCCCTGGAACCGAGTGAATCATTCTTCCATAAAGACTTCTTTTAGAGGGAAAGGACAAAAGGTATAGAAGTTGTTCCCAATATTAGTTAATACATAACTTTTAAAGACAGGCACGGTAAAAGCAACAACAGATAATGTTCTAGGTGTTTTCATATAAAATCCCATTTAATCCACACAAGAATTCTGTACACTAGCCTTTATCCCCACTTCGCAGACAGGTAAACTGAGTTAATGGATTTAAATACAATAGCTCTAAATGAAGTTTCTAGAAACCACATTGGAAAATTACACCATGTACGCAACAGATGAAACACGACCAAAGTTCCAGAACCACTTTTCCCAATACAGCAAAACAAGTGTTTAGAATACAAGTCTCTTAACACGAACTAAGAAGGCAGGCTTTTGTCTAACTGCCTAACCAAACACCACCTTCATCT